ATGCCACCTGTCTCATAGGCCCAACTGTGCCATCTGCCACCTTCATCTCCTGCTGCCACACAAGGCTGGGGACGAGTGCAGGGCACTGGGACGTCCTCCACACCAGGCAGTTCAGTCTTCCATGCCTGTGCTCACCATGCCCATAATTCATTCATTCTCCCCCTTTTGAAGGACCAGTTCAAGAATGCCCCACTCTACTGCCTTAGCCTCCATGTTGTGATTCAGAGACTCCGGATGGGACCTTGCTCAAGAAGCCAACGAGCAATTCTACCTCAGAGATACATTCCTTGAACTAAAATCTTCTGACTGCTTTAAAACAAGTGATTTGCAAAAGTGATGGTCTGGGCTCCTGAGCATCGGCCCTCCTCTTGAGTGAGTTTCAGAGGAGCACCTGGCAGCAGGGCCCCTGAATGGGGGCAGTGATGGGAGATGACAGAGGGAATACAGGGACCAAACAAGGCAGTTGCAGAGTCCAACATTTGCCTGAGAAGGCCAGAGAGGGCAGGGGCAGAGTCCTGGGAGCAGCTCCCAGGGCAGACGGGTGTGGGAACACAAGGTGGCTCTTCTCCATCCTCCTTCTCATCTTTTTTTAAAGATTCATTTTATTTTTATTGGAAGTCAGATATATAGAGAGGAAGAAAGACAGAGAGGAAGATCTTTTGTCTGACAGTTCACTTCCCAAGTGAACACAACAGCCAGAGCTGCGCCAATCCGAAGCCAGGAGCCAGGAACTTCCTCCAGCTCTCCCACACGGGTGCAGGGTCCCAAGGCTTTGGGCCGTCCTCGACTGCTTTCCCACAAGCAGGGAGCTGGATGGGAAGTGGAGCTGCCAGGATTAGATTCAGTGCCCACATGAGATCCTGGAGCGTTCAAGGTGAATACTTTAGCTGCTAGGCCACCATGCCGGGCCCCCTCCTTCTCATCTTAAGTGAGTCCCCTATCCCTGCCACTGGGCTGCAAGAAAGCCTCTCAGGAGATCTGAAGTAGGACTCCTATCTCCAGCCACAGAAAGAATGAGAACAAGGCCAGCCCTGGTGTTATTCAGGCCATGTGCCTCCTGTGCCATCTACACCTATCAAAACCAATCTTGATGGAGCATAAGTGGTTCATTTACCCGCGGAAGAATCTGTAGACTTCTGGTGAACAAACATGGATGGCAGAGGGGAGTGCCCTCTGCTATCTCCCATATCTGGCCTGGCACAGCAGGTCCCAGCATGGAGAGCGAAGAAAACAAGGACTTACACTGGTTTCACACCCACTCACCTTTCAACCATGGCCTGGTGTTGCTCCAGCAACAGAGACCAGAAAATGGGCTTGGCTCTGCACAAGGCTGACTTTCCACCTTAGGGGTCCCTGCCAGGGGCACCCTGTCCTCCATGGCACTCCACAGCTCAGAATGGGATCCCCTTGCCTCATTCCTGCCTAATGGTATCCCAAAGCCCTACCTGCTGCCCACAGGATAGCCTCCTTCCTCCTCAACATAACTCTCAAGGGCTTCACAGCTCAGCTCTGGCCTCGCCTTCCAAAGTAAGTTCTCCCAACTGCCCACTCCCACCCAAGGGAGAAAAGGGGCCTTCTTCCAGGTCTCATCAGAGCCTATTTCCCCAACCTCGACTCCTCCAGGTCCCTGTAGTGGAATCTCCCTCCTGCATCTCTCCATGTCTGAACCCTACTTTCCTCAAGGCCCAGCTCAAACGGCCCCTGCTCTTTTCTCCCTCTACTATCCCACAATGGCCTCAAGGCCTCTCCCAAGTCCTTGCTCAGATCAGGCGGACTCCTCCCTTCCTCTGGTGCACCTGCAGTGTCTGTGCCTCTTTTACCAACTCAGACACAACCACCTGGAAGACGGAGCCCAATCCCCAACTGAAATGCAAGAACACCAGGGACAGAAGGCCTGAGTTCCCCCGGAGTCCCCGGAGTAACAAGGGCACCAGGAATACAGAATGAGTTCATGATGACCAAATGAATGTAGCATGGCATCTGAAGGGGCTCTGCAGCATTTGTACAGGAAAGGCCATGCTCAGAGGGCTACACCGGGGCTCTCCATCCAGGCAGCCGCAGCAGTGCATCTCACCCCTTCCCATGCTCATTCCATCCAAAACACACAGCAACTCCCCAGTCTTTGACCCTTGTTCCAGGATAGAGAACAGAAAAGTCCTGCCTGGCTCCCCACTGAGATGACACTGGCTTCATCTGGGTATAACTAAAGTACCAGCCAGAAAGTGAAAACAACTGGATTCCAGTTCTGGCCTGCCAAGAACTAGCTGTTAGACCCTCACTCTCATGAGACAAATTTAGCATTTCCCAAACTGTAGTCCCACCAGCCACCCAGCAAGGCCACCAAGAAAGGCACTGCTTGGGGGAAGAGAGATAAGGGGAGAGTCTGCATCCATTTTATACGCAGGCTAGTGCTCCATTGGGCCCCCATGGACTTGTCCAGCTGTCCCCAGCTAGGAGTCAGGGAACTAGCTGGAGACACAACTCCAGGGAGTTGGCAAGGTTTCTAGGGTCTGCTCTCTCAAGACTCCTCAACCTACAACCCCCTGAGTGGTTCTCCCAACAGAGGGCGGTAGCAGTGTGCCTGACCTGCTAAGGAAACAGGACACTGGCATCTGGGAATAGTGAGTTCAGGGTGGTTTCTGATGGTCAACAAGCACCCTCACCTCTCATGCAAAGGAGGTCTGAGCACCTACCTGGGCACTCAGATGGGTATCCCCACCCTTGCATGGGAAAGCAGGGTATGCACCCAGAGCTGGCTGAGTACACAGCAGGATAAAAAGTGAACAGAGTCTCTAGTCTCTGCATCAGGCACCAGGAAGGACAACAGGAAGCAACAGTGTCCTGAATGCAGCCTTTAGCAACAAACGCCAGCTGCTTAAACCCAAAGCAATGCTTTCCTGGCATCCACACCCTACAGGCGGCCAGAGGACAAAGAGCACTGCTCTACGCCTGCCCCACGCAGCAACCCAAGCAGCTTCCCCTAGGAGTCATCTATAGCCCCGGTCACACCCACCTCCAATAGGGCCTGTCAGAGAGAGGGAGGGGAGGGGAGGAAAGGGGACAAAACCCAGGAAGAAGAGGGCAGCACTGAGCTGGGCATGGCTGTGGCTGGCTGCCTCAGCCCTCCCACTCCCTGGAGGATGAAGTCCCTGATCCAACCACCTCCAGGGCCTCTCCCCTTGTCCTTCACTGGCCAATTCCCAGACAAAGGAGAGAACCCTAGCAAAGAAAAAGGACTTGGGGGCACAGGTTGGAGGTGGAGATCAGAGAGGTGAGAGGCCCAGAAACTCTGTGCAGGTCCTGGCGTGGACACTTGTGACTGATGGCCTGGAAGGGGAGGGTGGGGAGACAATGGCAGGGAGTAGGAAGAGGAGCTTAAGACAGAGCTATGACTTCAGGTAGGGTGGAGTACACCGGACAGCACAGCCATGGGCAGGTGTCTTTATAGGGAGGGGCCGTTGTGGGGCTAGGGGGTGGGACGTTAACTGAAACCTCCAGTGGGTCAAGAAGAAGCCATCTTTGGCTTCAGCATGCTATAACTGAACAGAGTCATGATTAGGCCCACCAGGGCAGATGAAACCCACAGCTAGATGGAGATGAAGGAGGGGGGCTCCGCACTAAAGGACAGAAAGGCTAGGGCAGACCACAGCAAGATCAGGGCTGTCCCCTCTCCCCATGGCAGAAGCTCTGGTCCAGGCCCAAGGTCAAGCCAGATGTCTGATTACCTTGGTGGCAGAAAACATAAAGGATGTCCCTAAAAGGCTAAAGATTCCTGAGGCCTACTGTGTGGAAGCCCAACGAGGTGGCAGCTGGGACTGGGCCTGCGGGGGAGGGGGTGCAAGGGTAGAGTGTGGCTGCAGCTCAGGATCCAATTACGTTGCAGTTTCCATACTTAGCCACCTGACAGCCGCTTGGAATACTCACCACTCCAGCCTGCAGCCCCACAGGGCCCAAATTAACTCAAGGGCAGACAAGGGCAGGGCCAGGCAGCACACGCAATGGCAAGGGCCCCCATCTCACATCTCTAAGCACCAGAGGAATAGCTTTTGCTCCTGCCCACCACCCCTCTCTCCGGGCCAGGACCATGGCCTAGCAGCTCCCATCCTCAAAGACAAAACCTCCAAGTCTCAAGAGACTGAGACTCTAGGCCCCATGGCCCCATGTGCAAACACAAAGGGCTGAGCTCGGCAACCAACCAGGGAGCCCTAGATTCCTGAGGGGATCCCCAGAGCACCTCCCGAGGAGAAATCAGCCCCAGGAGTCTTGTAGGAGAGGTGGCAAAGTGATTTGGTGTCCCTCAACAGCCTATAAATAACCCCTGTGTTGCAACCCAAGCCGCCGCTGCTGCACAGAATGCTGAGGTGTCAAAGGGGAATCTGAGCACACAGAGCCGAACCCCCTTTCTGATGAAAGCCCCACTCCTCATACAAGCACTGTTCCAAAATGGGCTCCACTCCTCTTCTGAAGCCTTTGTCCAACTCCGTTTCCAGCCTAATCCCCCACTCTATGTCTGACCTTACCCGAAAAAAATTCCAACTCTACCCCCCTATCTCCCAAATGACCCCCAACTTCGCCCAACACATTCCTATGTCCTCAGTCATACAGATCCGAGCCTCTATTTGGGGTCAGCAGGCCTCCCTCTATCTCTGGCATGGTGCAAATGTCACTCAATGACCTGCAGCTCCAAGCCCATATTGAAGGCTCCTCTAGCCTTTATTTTTGGGGTCCTCTTTTCCAGCACTTGACAGCCAGGCTCTTCTCTCTGACCCCTCGCCCAAGCCTCAGGTCCACACACCTGTCTCCACTGCCTTTGGTCTCCCCAATGTCCCCTAACTACCCTTCGGTTCTGCATCCAGCTCTTCCTCCACAGCCCAGGGACAAGAGAAGGTTAATAATAAGTGGGATCAGCAAGAAGCAAAGCTGTGGCATCAGGTGCGCACTCCCCCCCACCCCACAGCAGACAGCACACCTGGGGCCTGCCCATGCAGGGTCGGGCATACCTGCTTGTCCTGAGAGCAGGAGAGAGGCCACAAAGCAGCAGAACAGGAGCAGCGCCCTCATGGTGACTGCCAAGAGAACCCAGCTGCTCCTCGCCTCTATTTATATGGCGGGTGTGGGTGGCAGCGGCAGGCTGCGGGGTGGGAGGAGAAGGGTCACACAGTCACTAGGGCAACTGGACAGACGTGATGGGGAAGAAGCCCAGACCCCAACAGGCTGCACGGATGAGGCTCAGCTGCTGCTGTATGGGCCCAGCTGCCAGGCCCCAGAATGTAGGGCTCGGTGCTGGATTGGCTCTCCCCACCTGCCAGCAGCTCTCAGATCACATGACCTGAGAAATAACGTGGGGCGTCCCTGAGGCTGAGGTCTAGGAGCTGGGAACTCGAGTCTTCCCAGAACTTGCCCTGTCTTGACCTAAAGTCTGGGGAATATCCGAAGAAGAGGTCCCATTTGATAGCGAGTGACAGGCAGAACTACAAATGGCCAGTTAACCAGCTGCCCTTTGAGGTGCAAGGCTGGGAGCTTAGGCTTCCAGGGGCTCCGTGCCCGGAGTGCTGAGCAGGGCAAAAGCAGGAGGCACTTGGGAAGGGAGGTGGGGGTGGAACGGCACAGATCCTTCAGAGAGCTCCGCAACGTAATCTTCCAAAGGTTTGTGGGGTGGTCGATGGGGTAGGGGGCTAGCAGTGGGCCACAGAGAAAAGCAAGGCAGGACACCAAGCCTCCCTGAGAGTGAGGTGTGTAAACAGCTTTACTAGCATATAACCAAATCTGCCTTTTTAATAAAAAGAAATAAATCCATTATTATTATTATTATTATTATTATTATTATTGGAAAGGCAGATACACAGAGAGGAGAGACAGAGAGGAAGATCTTCCATCTGTTGGTTCACTCTCTAAGCGGCTGCAGTGGCCAGAGCTGAGTCGATCCGAAGCCAGGAGCTTCAAGTGAAGATCGCCCCATCAGTGGAAGCCTTCAGAAGCCCGAGGTCCTCCAGGGAGGAAGGGCTGCCTCCAGACTGCCTCCAGATTCCAGATAACAGCACCAGATCCTGCTGGAATTCCACCTGCTAACACTCCTGCAAACATTAGACCTGCCAGCCCCGAAAATCTCTCACTCCAGATACACCTCCTCCTGGTTCTGTTCCTCTAGAGAACCCTAAAAGTCCAATATCAAGTCTTCTGACCCACGTATGGCTATAGGGAGAAGAGGAACCAGAAGTCAATGAAGGAGATACTGTGGGCCGGTGGTGCCAGGTGACAAGAGGAAGGTACACTGTCACCACTTCACAATGAGATGCAGGGTGACATGAATGAAAGCACTCGCTTGGAATCACACAATGAGGAGTGAAGTCATCTGGACTGGAACGCACAATCACCTAATACATAAACCCACGACTTTTCCCATCAATTCAAGCTAACATGGATCACCAAGGCACAGAAAGGGGTTGGGAGCAACAGAGAAGTGTGGGGACACAGCAGGACACATGCTGAAATCTCAATACAAGCCACAAGGACTCAAACCCACACAGGGAAAGGGCGAATCTAGCATGATTCAGATTGAAAAATACCTGCTTGGGATCCCAAACACACCCTCATCCACCATGTTCATAACAGCACCATGCACAACTGCCCAAGTGTCCATCCAAAGGTATGTCCATATGAGGTTCTAATACAAGTGACAATGATCAATGCTGAAAATGCCATGCTAAGTGAAATAAGCCAGATGCAACAGGATAGCGTATGCATTCTCTAAGCATGCCCCGCAGAGTACCACAAAGTGGGTGGTTTCAACACAGAAGACCTAAGATCCAGGTGCCAGCAGGTGTATTTCTTGTATTTCTTCCAAGGCCTCTCTCATTGGCTTGTAGGTGGCTACCTTCTCACCATGTCTTCACACAGTCACACCTCCATCTGTCTCTGTCCTCATCTTACCTTCCAAGGACACTGATCATATCCCCCAATGATTGTGTTTACATAGTTGAGAAGTATGCATGCCCATGTGGACCACCAATTAGAGTGGGAAGGGTTGAGATAGGGGAAGTGAATGACATCATTGTTTCCAATTTTCTTTTTCCTCTTCTGTATCTGAAGGAAGGAGAGAAGCTGAGAAGCAGCACCCAGCATCCTAATCGTGTCAGTAGCTGGAGATGAGGAATGGCCACTCAATGCCATCCCAGGATCCCCAATGTGGAGCATGCTCTGAGAGTTCTGCTCAAGTGGTTTCGATAGTTCTGAAATTCTATTGATTGTGTTGCTCCTACATTGAGGAAATCCTTCCAAGGTCCTTTGGCTGACATAGTCCACTTTAGAGTCTCCATTCACCCAGACACTTGCTGTCAACACTTGGCTGGGAGAGTTGTCCAATTTGTTCTGCCCTCCATCCAGTGCAGGCCCCAGTGGACTGCCATATCCCTCATGTACATCTGGCCTGCCATCCAATACACCATCTTCAGCAACTGAGGAGGTCCAGTTCTGACACATGCACTCCATGGTCAAACCACAAATCCTGCAATTCTCCCTGTGGTTGGAGTTCTGAGTGTAGCAATTCAGTTGGGGATGTTCCTCAGAGAAACCTCACCAGAGGTGACCCCAGATCTGACTCCTGTGTGTGCTAGCTAGTACAGGGTCCAGCTCAATCTGTCACCCACATCAGCCTACACACACACTAGTGGTTGCAGTTGCTGGGTCAATTCTGTCTCCAGCCCCATCTCTTACACAAACTAGTGCATGCGGTGGCCCAACCCTACCCACAACACACTGGTCCTTATGTACACCAGTGAGAACTGCAGCTAGGCCAGAGTGGCCCCCATTAATCCCCACCAGGCCCACCCCCAGCTGTAGTTTCTGTGCATAACAGTATATGCAGCAGACTGGTCCAGTCTGTCCCGCAGCCCATTCAGCTTTTATACACATCAATGGGCACCGCAGCCTAGTTCAGCACAACCAACCCCACTGTTCATCCCACACTTACACTGGCAGATGCTACTGCCTATCCAGCCAGGTCCACCCCCAGCCCTAAGTTTTCATGCTCACCTGACAGAGGAGTTTCCCAAGTTCCTCTATCAGGTCTCCTCCCAGTGGTAGATCTCGCACACACCAGTGGGTTTTTGGCCCACCTCCTGTCCTGGCAGGAACAGCAGCCTTGCCCAACTGGCCCACACCCATTCTAGCTCTTACCGGAGTACTATAGTCCAGCCGTGACTGGCCCACCCTAGCCCTAGTTCTTCCATAGTTCAGTGGGTGCAGAGACCTAGCCAGCCCATCCTACACCAACCCTGGCTCTCACGAGCACCAGGAGGTACTAGAGTCTATCCCAGTCTGGCACACTCCAGACCCAGTTCACACCCATGCCAAGGTATACCGCAGCCACATCCAGGACATTCACAGCCACCATTCTGGCTCTTGCATGCAACAATGGGAACCACAACCCAGCCAGGGTGTCCCCTTACCTCCTTGATCAGGCCTGCTTTCAGCCACTGATGTTGCACATGCAAGTTGCTCTGACCCAGCCCAGGATAGCCCATCCCATCTTGGCTTTTGCTATTGGATGCTGCAGCCTAGCCCTGCCCAGCCTATCCCCATCCCTGGCTTTCATGCAAACCGATAGATGTGATAGCTTAGCCTAGCATGGCCCACCCTGCACCCTAACCCTGCCTGGTCCCCCCGGCAACTTGAGCCAACCCACATACTTGGCTGACAAGTGAAGCAGCCTTGCCCAGCCTGATCACCACCCAGGCTTGAGTCATATGCTCACCAGCAGGAGTCATGGCCCAAGGGGAGTTCCCCAAGTTCCCCCACCAGGTCCACTCCCAGACTCAGATCTCACATGTGCCAGCGAGTGCTAGGCCCTTACCCAGCATAGTCTGACCCCTCTGTCTCAGCTTTGTGTGAGTCGATAGATGCTGTGACCCAGTCTGCCCCACATCCTATTCTTTGGTGCACCTACAGGTACTGCAGCTTGCATCAGCCCAACTTGTTTCCTACCCCAATACCCATGAGCATCTGAGTATCTCCACATGGCTGCTCTTCCTGAAGGGCTCCTGCCAAGGGACGGCCACTCCTTTGTCCAGACTAAGAACTTTCTGGGGCACGGCTCAGAGCCTCACATAGGCAGCTAAGTGGGTCCCCAAGACCTAAATCATATCTGGAGCCAGAGGGGCCAACCTCACAGAATTACCATTAATTAGACATTGGTGGGGGAGATGTTCCAACTGCTCATTGAGTTCCAATGCCCACACTGCTGAGTACATGCATCTCAGGTGTGCAATGAACACATCAACAGCAGGTGTGAAGAGCATCAGTGGGGGGGGAGGTGGCAAGACCATGTGAAAGGCCACAGGACTCTAGAACCAGGCCCTCGGAAGTCATAGTTCTGGGCATACGGTTCCTAAGTACAATCTCTGGGCTGCAGCTGAGCTGCTAGATCCTAGCTCACCTCAAACAGTTGAGACTTGTTCTACCTCTCACCAACTGAGTGGGAAATCAACATGGAAACTTAGCCGGCTTACAGCTGGAAACAACCTGTCACGTGTTCAAGTGAGTCGCTGTAAAAGCCTGGATCTGTTAAGAGGTTTGTCACTTTTGCACAGGGGGAGGAGAGGTACTTGCACCAAGTCAGATTGAAACAATACAGACTTTCATGTGGTTATCAATCACACTGAAAATCAAAGACTACCCCCTGGATGGTTAACAGTCGTGACCACACTCACTGCCATCCTGCATCTTCTCCACATGTACACAGGCCAACAGGAGGCTCCTGAACCATGGCTCCTACTGCAGCCCTGGGCAAAGCTCACCCCATGCTCACACTCACGTGACCTGGGAGTGAGCTGCAGGAAGTCTTTGTGGCATGGCCAGCATGTTGGATGACTTCGATCTCTGCAGTCATCATTCCATTCACACTCCTTCACACACACACACACACACACACATACATCTATGGTACTGTCCCACTCATCTTAGAAATGACAGGTTTTCTAGCTTGGGAGGACCCAGGAATCACAGATATTCATCCAGCACTTGCTTGAATACCCTCAGACAAGAGTCAGCAGTTCTGCTGTTCTGCATATA